TTGTCACCTAGGCTTTGGTTACTCATGTGTGAAGTGGGGATAAGGTCCTCTACCTTAAAGACGTTTTTGAATTACGGTGTTGGCAAAAGGCGTTGACTGTACCATGGATGGAGAGCTCTGGTGGCCTGGAGGTCAGGAGCTACACTGTCCACCTGAAGGGACATGGTTTGTATACACCAGCGGCTCCATGGAAAGATGGACAATCTCCTCTCATGAGATTTACAGTCTTTGAAAACTCACTACAGGTCAGTTGTAATTCCACAGTACAACAGCACACATATAACATACCATGGGCTACTGAAAGACCAGCCAAATCTCTCCTGTGAGAGGTACAGCCACAATGCTCATTACAAGCAAGGGGAGTGATATTTTGAGCAGGACATATTGCCAGGAGGATCCAGTCTCTGGTGAAGGGCATTACGCTTGGAAAATAGAGAGACTGTGAAAGAGAGGAAGATACTCAATGAGGTGGATTGCCCAGGGCTTCCAAGCACAGCAGAGGTTATAGGGATGGCAAGCAATGGGCAGGGCTTCCTTCTGTGGCTCATGGGGTTACTATGAGTCAGAGCTGACAGACAACACCTAGTAGCAACAGTGATGTGCCCTAAGGGAGTGTCTGAGTAGAGCAAATGGTTGATGCTCTCACCTGCTAACTGAAAACTTAGAAGTTCAATTCCACGAGACATCTCAGAAGGAAGTCCTTGAGCTTGACTTCCAGAAAATTAACCATCAAAGCCCCTGTGAGGCACAGTTCAAGTCTGATACAAACAGTGCTCGACACAGAGAAGCTACTTGTAGCAGTAGACAGAGTAAAACAATACCATCTCTGCGCCTGCAGTCACTATGGGAGGAGAGTCATCTTGGGAACTCCAAGATAAGAATAAAAAGTCACTGCTTTCAAGAGGACTTGAAGGCATTTCACTTCATGACCAGGCCGTTTTGGAAGATACAGGCCAACATGTACACTCTGCATGTGTGCCTCTGACTTCTCCTTGACGTCATTGTTTCGAGAACTGGCAGAATAACCTTCTCAAAGTCACTGGCAATAACTACTAAGCCTGCAGATGCATTTCTCTTTGGCTCAGTAATCTCTCTTCTAAAAATGTCTCCCCCAGATACTCCTGCACACCTATGAGATGGCATATGGGTAAGGTTATTTGTTACAATCTGATAATAGTAAAAGTTTAGAGACAATTCTATCAAAATAAGGAACTAGTTAAATAAATATGATTCAGCCACATAGTAGACAATATTCTTTTCAATGAATAAATTTTCAAGAGCCTGTAAATAAATTTTAAAACAACAGCTTCCAGGCCCTCCAATGACAGAACAGGCCAAGAAAACGTCTCCAGGTATCGTAGAACAGCAAGGCTGGGAAGAGCCTGAACCTAAACACCTTGTATTTAGAGATGAAAATACGGAGGCTCAGGGAGTTGCGGTGGCCTAGTAGTACAGAGCTGTGCTGCCAACCTAAAGGCATGCAGTTCAAATCCACCAGCAGTTCTGCAGGAGATGATGGGCAACCTCCTCCTGTGCAATTTACTGCCTCCGAAAACCCGCTCAAGGGTCAGCTATGGCTCGGTTCTGACTTGGTTGGTACACTAATCTGGTGGTTTACTGGCAAGGACTTGCAATGCCAACCCAAATGTGTATGGTTTGAATCTACCAGCTGCTCCATGGGGAACAAACGAACTCCTCTCACACAATTCATTGTCTCTGAAAACTAGAGGGTCAGCTATGAGATGATTGTGACTTGATGTACATAACAACAATAATACTGAGGCTTGACAAGCTCTGGTAGAGAGGCTAAGAACTTGACCATTACCCAAAAGGTGAGGGGTTCACCACGGGCTGCCCATGGCACACTCAGAAGGCCTCAGGGACAGCTCTATTCTGTCCTTCAGGCTTTCTGTGAGTTAGAATTGACTCTGCACGGTGGGTTTGTATCCCCTGGTCCACAGACGACCCAGTAATTGGCTTACGAGTACACAGTCTAGTTCTGTTTCATAGCAAGGCTGAGCCACCAACAAAATTGCTAATCAGGTATCATGGCATTTCATGTCAGCAGTTCTCTAACGGCTCAAAACAGAAAGAACACATTTAAAAGTGAGGCCTGGCTTGTCCGAGTGCAGTGGAGGCCACAACTAATTGATCACAGTCAGTTAAAAGTGAGGCCTCAGGCAAGGAACTGAAATGACTTTTCATGCACTCCTGAAAGCGATTGAGCATGTGGCCAATACTGGTGACATAAGTATTGTGTTTAAATGTGTCACTTTGTTTTTATGACTGTGACTACACCTTGTCTCATATACTTCCTTGGAATGAAGCTCAGATTTGCTGTCAGTTTATATTACAGAAAAAAAAAAAAGAAAAAGAAAAAAAAACCAAAGCAGGAATTGAGAATGTGTCCAGTAACTGTAACAGCAATGAACAGTGAGCTTCCATTTCCTCATTTGTAAAAGGGCTCTCGGACACCTTCATCCCGCTGTTGCAAAATCACATCAGATTGCTCTCTCTGTCTGGCACACAATAGGCCCTGCCCTACAGACCGAGATCTTTTCCTGCCTTATCTACAATGTGCCCTAATCAGTTTCCCAACAGAGCTTTGCTCTTTTAATTCAAAGTAAAGATTCTCCCTAAGCACTTCAAAAAATTAAAAAACCCCAAATACTTGACATAATATTTACATAGGTCAATAATTTTTCATTTCTTCAGCTAGAGTCAATAGTAAAATGTTTGTTAACTAGAATTATAAAACTATTTTTTCATCAAGTTCCCAGACTACCTCCTTGATCCACTTTGCCCTAGGGGACTGCTACCGTCATGTTCCTGACATGGAAGCCTTAGGTCCAGCCGTATTCACCAGGTTCCTCCCACAGTCCCCTGCAGACACTCGTCTTTGGCAAACAATAAATGACTCTTTTGTTACTATTGTTAGGTGACATCAAGCCAACTCCAATTCGTAGTGACCTGGGTGAGCAGAGCAAAGCCTCGTCAGCTCCTGCGCCATTCTCACACAAAGTAGAATTCTTACCTCCCATACAGGACTTAGGTTCAATTCTTGCTCAGTGCAACTCTTGTACAATTATTATCATCTGTCAATGGAAGTAAGAATACTGTTGGTGGTGGTGGTATATGCCCTTGAGTTGCTTGTGACTCATAGCAACCCCTATGTACAACAGCTCTGAAGCCTGCCCTGTCCTGAGCCAGTCTCACTAATTCCAACACACCTACTCCCAATTCCCTAGTTATCGTATCAATCCATCTCATCTGAGGTCTTCCTCTCCTGCACTGCCCCTCCACCCTTTTGAAAATGATGTCCTTCTCCAAGGACCCGTCCCTCCTGGTGGCCACTTGCCCAAAGTGTGATACAGAGGTTCAAAATCCTAGCCTCTAAGGAGAAACTTGGTTTCACCCTCTCCAAGACAGACCTTTTTGCTTTCTTGGCAGTCCATGGTATGCTCAAGACTCTTCTCCAGCACCGCAACTCAAAGGCACCCATTCTTCTTCTGTCATTCTTAGTGAATATTACTATCCGTTAAATAAATTTCCATGAAATTTCCAAACTACAATAGATTAGGTACAAAGACTTGCAACCACATTTCTAAGAATTGTCTAGTGAAAACCCTATCCATCACAACAGTACAATCTACAGTTAATTATGATGGTGCAGAATTCAGTAGTGTGGTATCCCATTGTGCATGGGGTTATTAGGCATTGGATCTGACCCGATGGCAATAACAGGCTGAACCAGGATGAATAAAGTGAAGAATATAAGCAAAGATATTTTAAGCATCTACTACATGCTAAGTACTATGTGGACCCTTATCCCTTTGGATCCATATTCCTTGTCTCACAGCTGATAGAACAGAAGCTCAGAGCATTAAACCACCAGTCACACAGGAATCGTTAAAGTAGATTGGAACCCAGGGCTCCTGCCTTCAGGTCTTCCCACTGTGAGATCTCCCATTGGTTGCATCTACAGGGCTCTAGCTTCTAAGACTCCTTGTAACTGCTCCAGAGTGTCTGCCAAAGCTCGCCATGCATGCAACCAACTCATTGTTGTGCAATCAATTCCAATTCATAATGACTCTATATGTCATTGTTGGTGGTGTTGTTGTTAGGTGCTGCTGAATCAACTAAGACTCTAGCGACACTACAAACAACAGGTCTGCACCTTGTCCTGTCCTGCGCCATCATCAAGATCTCCGCCACGCTCAAGCCCATTGTGGTAGTCATGGGACAGTCACCTCATTGAGGTTCTTCCTCTCTTTCCGCTGACCATTCCCAACATGATGTCATTGTCCAAGGACTAGTCCCTCCTAACAACATGCCCCAAGTACATGAGACAAGGGCTCACTATCCTTGCCTCTAAGGAGCACTTTGGGTGCAAATAACTTGAGAGAACAAATAATTCCAATTACTCTCTAAGACAGTGTAAAATTGTCCAATAATTTCTAAGACAATCACATTTGCAGAAGCAGACTTCTATATCTTTTGCCCACAGAGCTGCTGGTGGGTTTGAACCATTAATCCATGATTAGCCACTGAGCAATTCCAGGGATTCGTACTTGTGTGTGCGCGCGCACATGCACACACACACACACACACACACACACACTCTTAATCTTTATGAAATTATTTTAAAACTTAAAAAGAGGACCCACACACCCTTACCTCCATTTCTGCAGATATGTAAAGATAACATCATATTTCTAACACATTGGTCAGACTTAACGGGAAGGGAGGAATTAGACAAGTCAATTTTCCACTCCCTGGAGCAAAGACATACCCACAGAAGGTTCTTACCATCATTTTTCTCTTAAATGATACTAATCTCTTTTTTTATATGATCTACATCCTAATAATCTAATACTCTAAGGCTTTCTACCATCTTTTAAGAGATACATAGAAGTTAATAGACTAATAAGCCCTAAATGCCAGCATTGATCTTTATTGCAACCTGCACCCGATCTGACTCCGGCACTGGGCGTTCTGACCTGAAATAGTTGCTGGCCGCGGCAAGGACCACACGGTGGCAGGAAAATTCCTGGATGTCCACACACAAAATGACGTCTGTGAGAGCGTTTTCCACTCGGAGGGTCTCCAGGCCATTCTGAAGGATTAAGGAGAGTCCTGTGTCATCAAATTTGACCTTATCCTCATTTAAGATCTCAACTAAGTCGCCCCTTTTTCGGGAGGGCTCATCTGGAGAAGGGGCCAAGGGCCCTTCCAAACTCTTCTCTACCACATCCCCCATGTTCCAGGTGCCCCTTTGTCCTGCCATCAACCTCTGGACTGAAGGAGCGCCCAAGTTTCAGTCAGGTCACATTGCAGAAGCAGAGCGGATTTCCTGTGCTGGGCCCTCCACTTATCACCAGCTGTCACACACACATAACAGGAAGTCTCGCACTTTCTCATCCTGTTACTACAAATACTGGCAACTTCTATTCTTCTTTCTGTGAATTGTCACAGGGCTAGAACCTACTTAAAGTGAATATGTAGGCAGGGCCTCTGAGAGAGAAAGGTGGCTTCCCAGAATCCGCGATCAGTGCCATGTGGCTATTTTGGTCCGTCTCCTGCCTCCTATCCTCAAGCAGCAAGCAGGTGATTGTTTTTGCATTTATAGGCTTGGGACTTCTAAAGTCTATGTTGTCAATGATGCTACAGGAACCACCTGCAGTTCTCTCCTCCTCCTCTGAGAAGCATGAAGCCCCATTAGGAGCCTCCACACAATCCCGTGGGGACCTGAGCAAATTCACTTAATCTCTGACATTCCTTGTTTCCATCAGCACTACACAACTTCTGTCTGTCTCCCTTCCCTACTACTCAAGGGAAACAATGTCAGGGCAAACGTTAACCTCCCCCTGGAAATGCATATTGTTTCAGATGTGTCTCTGGAGACAGGAGCAACGGTCTTCAGGACTCCGCCCTATGGGAACCTCCCTCTTAGACAAGCAGTCAAAGCAGAACACCAGATGGCCTCAGCAAGTCCCCAGTTACCCTGGGCTCACCCAGCATCTATTGAGCATGCCTCCAATGCTGGATCAAAAGTGTTTCCACCACCTCTGCACGTCTAGGTTATATAGTAATAACCATTTTATTATTGTTGTTGGCTCCTGGCTCCTGGCTACTCTATGAACAACAGGACCAGACAATTGTGGCATATACTGTTTTCAATGGCTGGTTTTTGAAAGTAGATTGCCAGGTTTTTTCTCCTACTCTGTCATAGTCTGGAAGCTTGGCTGAAATTTTCTCAGCATCGTAGTCCCATGCGATGGCAAACAGATATGTGGTGGCTATATTTGAGAGGTGTGTTAGCTGGCAATTGAATCCACACCTCTTGCATGTGAGGTGAAAATGTTACCAATGAGCCACCATTGCCTCCCTGTACTAAAGCCATGACTCATCTGTCAGTTTGCGGCATATAGTGGCAGCTTGATTGTTGCTGTGATCCTGGAAGCTATGCCACTGGTAATTCAATTACTAGAAGGATCACCATTGGTGGACAAGTTTCAGTAGAGCTTCCAGACTAAGACAGACAAAAATCAGAACTATCTATACACTTCTAAAATAACAAGGCTTCCAAAACTCTATGAATAGCAACAGAACAAAGAGACCAGAACAGTGTTCCATCTAGTCGGGAGAAGAATTCCTCAAATTGGAAGGCACACATTCCATTGGGGAAGAGAGCTCTCTCCTTAAGTTAGGATCTGCCCTTATGATGCTGAAAGAGTAAGGGCTTCATCCAATGAAAGGTTTTCATTTCTTGATTCAAAAACATCCCAAATATCTATCCATAATCAGAGCAAGGAATGCACAAAGTATGAACCTAAGAATATTCAAAGTTGTTAAAAATGAAACGGAATGCATAAAGACCAATATCCTAGGCTTCAGTGAGCTGAGATGGACTTTAATTAGTCTTTTTGAACCAAACAATCACATAATCTCCTTTTGAATCAAAAAACCATATGGTCTATGCAAGAAATGATACTCTGAATAGGACTGGTGCTACATTCATTGTAAAAAGACCAATATGAGATTTATCTTGAAGTACAACATTGTGAGTCATAGGATAATATTCATATCCATACAAGGAAGACCTTATAATAGTTAGTATAACTATTATTCTTTTTTTCTATAATTATATTTTATTAATTTTCATAAACATTTACAGAGATTTTGGGTTTCCATTCATTCATTGTTGCATTATTCTCTCTACC